AAAAAGAGTAGAGATGCTCATATACTACAGTCAGGAATATACTGCTGCTCCCTACTTCTGGTCCATTGCTTCTGGAAGTCAGGTCCCTGGACCGATCATCAGTATCCCCTGGGAACCTGTTAGAAAAGCTACTTCTTGGGCCCCTCCCCAGATCTCCTGAATCTCCAGGAGGTTTTGGTGCACGCTCGAGTTTGAGAACCAATGCTCCATTCCATCCTGGGAGGCTAATGAGGGAGCCTCTGAGTGCCCACTGCAGGGTGGAGGCTCCCTCAGGCTTCCTTATAAGTGCCATCTCAAGTATACCCCCTCATGAGCAAATATGTCCCCAGGAACAATCTCACTATAGCAGTCCCATGTGACAAGTGGGCCGTAGATCCACTTGGCTTTCCTTTTCCCAGACCCAGTTATTTATCATCTCTTCCTGGTATTGGCCCACAGTTCTCCTTCCATCCTGAATCCTTCAGAGAGAGAGGGGTGTCACAAGATCTCATAAGTACCTGCCAAGGACTCCTGTTACAAAGGGCTTCTTAGATTCTGGGGAAGGTTCTGTTTTTACCAGCCCCACCCATCCGGTGTTCTAGGACTGGATACTTTTCAGGGCTCAGAATCTTGGTTTCCACCATGACATTTACAGAGCAGCTAAGCCTGTTCATTGAAAAACGTCCAGGGCTCGGCGGGCAGTAATGAGGCTGGCTGATCTCCAGCAGTTGGCAAACACCATGGCACATTAAATGTCACTGCGGGCTTTGTTTGGTTTTAAATTGAAAAGTTGAAAGCTTACAAATTGAAAGCTTACAAACCTTGCCTGGGGAGGAAAAGAAATGCCCCCCTGTTCTTTGTCTCTGCTCTCCCCCCACAGACTACATGTCACCAGGGAATCCCTGCACCCCCTCTCTCAACTCATCCCCCTGCCCCACTCACACGCTGATGGGCACCCAACAGCCACGGCGCCCATGACCAAGAGCGTGTTTCCAGAACTCCTCTTGCTGGTGACAAAGAATGTGGAACCATTCCTAATTCAAAGCAGATCTGACCTAGCTACAGACCCCTATGCACACTTTCCCAGGATCCTCTACCCTCCCTTCTTCTTTTCTTCTGAAAAGGAACGTTCATGCTTACTTGTATACAAACATCCATCACCAGCAGAAGCCTAGTCTGGGTCTTAAAACTAGAAGGGCACTCAAGGGCGTGGGGTCTAGACTGTGCTTTCAAGCTGGTAAGTTACTGTTCCCATTGTGCACACGACACAGCTGAATCCAGAGAGTAAGTAACTCGCCCACAGCCCCACAGCGACTAGGTGCAGAGCTCAGACCCAGGGCTCCTGCCTCTGCCTTTCTTCCCTTGTTCACGGCGCCTCTTTCCATCTGAGATCAGACCCCAGAACTAGAGGCGAGCCTTCAATCACTCTTCCCTTTCCAGCTGCAGCCTGGGGTAGAGTTTTCTCAAATGCAATTTCATCAATAGAGTTAATCCAAATGTATCATCATTTTCTTGTTGTTCAGCCAACTCCCTTCTGCTAGCACATTTCAGCCCTGGAGTTAAGATGCCCTGCTCTGGGTGCAAGTGTGAGCATGTGAGCGCCCATTCGCTAACATTTAGGTCAGGAGGAGACAGGGTCTTGAATGTTTCATGAGGTGTCTCTCCTCCAACAGGCTTGGAAGCACATGACTGTCAGAAAGACAGGGCCCACAGTGAATGACCTGGGGGGGTGGGGCTGGAGGACTTGAATTCTAAGAGTGGCTGAGACCTTGATTGTATCCCATTTGTCCCCACTTAACCTGTTTGTTTTGTTTTGTTTTAGTCCTGGGAGAGGGGAAAAACCAGGCCAGACAAAAAACTCTCTGATTAGCATGTAGAACCGGGGGTAACCCGAATCGGTCTGTTTTCCCCAACATCTCTGACTCTGGACCCCTCTGTTCCTCCTCCCCACTGTTAGATCTGCTGGGTACCAACTAGGATGCTGTGTGCGGTGGCGTGAAGGGCCCTGACCTGGCCGCACAAGCTCCCCTGTGCCTTTTGATGCCCAGTTTCCTCATCTGTTAAACACACCATAGTGATCTTTAAGGATTAACTTTAAACTGATGTAAAGAGCATGGATGGGGAGGGGGAAGGGTAAGCTGTGACAAAGCGAGAGAGAGGCATGGACATATATACACTACCAAACGTAAAATAGAGAGCTAGTGGGAAGCAGCCCCAAAGCACAGGGAGATCAGCTCGGTGCTTTGTGACCGCCTAGAGGGGTGGGATAGGGAGGGAGGGAGGGAGGGAGATGCAAGAGGGAAGAGATATGGGGATATATGTATATGTATAACTGATTCACTTTATTATAAAGCAGAAACTAACACACCATTGTAAAGCAATTATACTCCAATAAAGATGTTAAAAAAAAAAAAAAAGAGCAGGTGGTACCACGAAATATCTGCTCCTTTCCTTCATTCCTGATAACACAAGTACATTTTTCCACTGAAATGCATTTGCATTATAATGGAGGCAGCATTTATAATAATAACTGTTAAAGAGATGAATCTCTAATGGTGGATTTCAAGCCTCAGCAACGAGCCCAAGAAGAGAATAGGCAACGTAATTGGAGCAGGCAAAGGACCCTCGATGACAACGAAAATTCAAGGGGCAAAGAGGCAGGGGGCTCAGTAAGCCAAAGCCACAAGGGAAGCAGCTGGGACTTTAATAGCTTCCTCTGTCTTTCTTCATGTGTAGAAAGGCCCCTGGTTATCACGCAGCAGCTCTGTGGGTGACTTTTAGCATGCATTTATTGAGCTCCTGCTGTGTGCTCTGTCCCCAAGCGGTTGCCACCGTCTTCATTTCCTCTTTGTCCTCCTCCTAACCAAATCCAACCCCACCCCTTTGTCTCCATCCTATTCCCTCCAAATCCTTCCACGATTCACCGCCACCGAATCTCAGCTGCCCCCATGACTGCCCCGTCTGAATGGACCTCATGAGAAAGATTGCCCCTTGGGGCCAGCGTAGGGCACAGAGAGCAACCAAGGTGGCGCTGAGGACCCCGCCACCCCCGCCTGAGAGAGACAGGCAGGGACAGATAAGAGTCATTTCCTTTGCTCGTCACCTTCCCACTAAAGGCATTTCCAGAGCATTTCTCTGGTGACGGAAGAACCAGTCAGGAAGATCCGTGCCCTTCCTCGCAGCCCTCCTGAGTTGAACAGGTTCAGTGCACTTCTCAGTTCTAACCTAAACTTCAACAGCAAGCAAGCTTTCTGGAAAGACCAGGCTTCCTTCTAGCCTTCCCAGATGTCCTTCTTCCCTTCAGTCACGTGCACGTTTCTCTCTTTGGAAGGGTGGTTGTAGAAGAGTGGAACTTGTTTTAGCATTGAGGAAACTCAAGTCCATAAAATGTGGCTTCTGGCTCTTAAAATCTTTGTCAATAAATGTCAGAAAGATTGCTAATGGAATGTAGGGTAATAAAAAGAAAATAAGTGTGAGCACTTTGGCCTTGGATCTCTGCACTTGTTACTCCAAGCCTCTGACTTTGAAGCCAATGGCATCCCCCAGCTCCTGTCACTTAGCTCCAGTGCTGGACCGGAAGTATCAGTGTACATCCCATAGAATATCAGAGCCCCAGTGAGACCTTAGCAAGAATTGATTCCAACCTCCTTTTGGGGGACCATCTGGCTAGACTGACCCACCTTTGGGAATGGGCTGAGAGTCCCACACTAGGACAATGCCCTTCACTGGGAAAGGGAGCTGGGCTATGTATACACTGTCAAGTTCAAGCATCTCTGCATGGCCTCAAGGCTGTCCATCTTGCCTCACCTCTTACCACTCCTTGCCTTACACTTTGTGCTCCAACAATATCAAACCACTCATAGGTCCCCATACGATTTGTTGCCTCAGTGCCTTTGTGTGGGCTGGCCTTGACCAGAATGTCCTATTTTCCCCCCCACTTATGGACACCTGGGTAACTTCTACTTACCCGTTATGATCCAGCTCAGCTATCACTGCCTTTAGAAGCTTGAATAGGGCCATGATTATGAATTGGTGGCCTCCAAAGCCAAGCAGACATAGGGCCAAATCTCTACTCATTCTCCCTAAACCTCAGGCTTCTTATCTATAAAATGGCAGTTGTTAGAGGCAGCAGTGAAGGGCTCCATGCCGCAGCTGGCACATAGTAGGCCCTCAAATTCAGCAGCCATCTTCCTTGTTTTCTGACTTCTCCACTCTGCCCTTCCATCCTAGACTGGGATGTGTGTCTGTCTCTATCGCTATTCTTCTATGTGTGTGCTCTTTTAAAATCTACTTTGTTGTAGTGTAATTTACATACAATAAAATGTATCCATTTTAAGCGTGTGGTATGGTGAGTTTTGACAAATGTGGACACCTGTGCATACCTGTGTACATGGAACATTTCTATCCCTCCTAAAGCTTTCTTTGTGCCCTTCCCAGTCAATCCTCATGCCTCTACTTCTGGGCCCAGGCAACCATGATCTCTTTCTATTGCTAGAGATTATACTGTCTTTCCTAGAGCATCATATAAATGGAATCATACAGTATATATTCCTTTGTGCTTCGTTCACTCAGCATAGTGCTTTGAGGTCCTTTGCCTGCTTTGGTATGGGTCCCTTATAGCACAGGCTCCGGATGTGCAGGCTCAGCGGCCATGGCTCACGGGCCCAGCCGCTCCGCCGCATGTGGGATCTTCCCGGACCGGGGCATGAACCCGTGTCCCCTGCATCGGCAGGCGGACTCTCAACCACTGCGCCACCGGGGAAGCCCCGCTTATAGCTTTGCTTTTAACTTTGTCTTATAATTTACCTGCTTCCTCCACTAGACTCTGAAGCCCTCAAAGATTCTTTTCCTTTTCTGGTTCCCAAATAAGCACTCAGCAAATGTTGGAAGGAAGAAAAGAGGAAGGAAACAGGGGAGTTCTCATGGGGATTGGTGAAGATCTTGGCTGCAGCCCTGCATCCTGTCCACCCCTGGGAGGCAGGGTTCACACCCCCAGCAGAAGCACACACACACACACTTACAGCAGCCAGTCCACAGCCACCAGCAGGCTGATGTCCTCGGTCGGCAAGCCCACAGCCGTCAGAATGAGGAGCATGGTGACGAGCCCGGCACTGGGGATACTGGCTGCACCAACGCTGGCCAGCGTGGCCGTGAGGCTGTGAGAACAGAAAAGGCCAGGTCAAGGGAAGAGAAAGTGGTCTTGGCAAAACCATCCCTGGCAGGCAATTCTCGGCTCTAATTTCTCCCGGCAGTCATAAAATCCCCTTTTCCTCCCAAGGAATAAAGAAATCTGGAGTACCAAGACCCAGGAAATAGGGTCTATTTGGATTCTGTTTAACCTTGGTGGAAGCTTATAAATTCATGGATGAGAGTCTTACCCCCATCATGACATGCAGTTCACTGAATATATCACAGGGCTCAAACAAGGTAAGCGTGGCTCTAAAAGCAGGCAAGGGAATATTAAAGAAGAAAAACAAGTCACCCTTAATCCTTCCACAGGAACACCACAGCATTCATTTCTGCTTACCCCTTTACGTCTCTGTGAGAAGCAGAGACTTCTAGTCTGCGTGGCAAGAGTCTGAGAAGGTTGCCAATGTTAACATGAGAACTCGTAACAGCGAGTATACAGACTCAACTGAGTGGACATCGGGAGAACAAATCAAAAGAAATCCAAAGGGCATTAAGGTTCAGATGCCTGGACGTTTCACCATGGGCTGGAAAATACATTATTCAGAAAGAGGGTGCCAAGAAATGACAATAAAATAACAGGAGGCTTTCCTTCTGAAGCATCTCATCCCTTGCTTTCCAAGCAATGCCTAGGGCATACCCAGCACCATTTTGAAGTCATCTCCGGAAGAGGGTTTAATCTAGGGTTCAAGGGCCCTGTCTAGACACCAGAGGGCCTCTGTGGTCCAGCAAAGAGCAGTGACTTTTTCTCCTCTTTTCTGGATGTTAATTATAAAAGCTATCATCATTTCTAAATGGAAGGAGGCTTATGAAAACATGGATTTGCAACTTGCTTTTCTAGCTGCTGAAAAGAAAAAAGGGGCTGCTTTCTTTGTGGTTATATGATTCCAGAATTTTTTTGGTAGGTCTTCGGGCTTGAAACTAAGAATCAGACTCCCAAACTGGTTTGCCAACTGGTGTGTCCAAGCACAGAATCCTGGTCTTACAGTCAAGAGGAACCCAAATTTACCTACTCTTACATATGAGGAAAGAAAGGTCCTGGGAGGTTTTGTGTTTTGCACTGGTTTTTCCACATTGCCATCCTTCCCCTAGGTGGGATCTAGAACCCATCTTTGCTTTTCCCCTGCTCCATTAACGTGGAGTTGTTGTCAGGGTTTAAAGAACTCCATTTTGGTGGGAGATCCATCTAGGTCATAGGAGGTAGTAGTGTGTAGTGGTTATCAGTGAAGGTTCTAGAGTTGAATGACCTAGGTTCAAATCCCAACTCTGCCACTTAACCACATGACTTTGGGCAACTTACTTAACCTCTTTGTGCCTTGATTTTCTTATCTGTAGAAAAGAAGATAACAATGGTGTCTCACTTGTAGAGGCATCAGGAGCTCAGAAATAAAGCACTTAGAAGAGGCCAGCACATTGCAACCGGAGTTGCTTTGCAATGAAAACATCCCTAGTCCTGAGAGTTGGCAGGTGGGAATTCTCAGTCATTTTCCCAAGATGGATAGAACACCAGGGAAGGGGAGCTTCCCAAGTTCCAATGATCCTGGCCTAGGCAATTTTGTTTACATCTGTTGCTTCTGTTACATGAGTCACTCTTACACATCCCTGTGTACTGTGGCCACATTGTCTTGTTACCCCTTGGTTGTGTGAGACAAAATCCTATAAAGAAATCTTCCTGGTGGCTGGTTCTCTTTCTGTTCCTCCATCCCAATTATACCCTCACCTGACCACAGGTGGAGTGTCTGGGGCATTGTAAGTCCTGTAAAATCTCCCTGGGCGGTGATCTCCCCCTGTCCTTTTATCCCCTCCTGCTTTTCCTGTCCTCCCCTGACTCATTTCCCTATGGCTGGTTCTTGGATGTTGTACAAGTTACCACACACACATTAATCACAGCAGAATGTCACAGTAACCCTGCAAGGTACATACGGTAGTACCACTGATTGGAAGGGTGGAGAAACTTAGGGTCACACAGCTTGAACATGGTCTGCTGGGATTTGAACACTTGTCTGCTTGATTCCAATACCACACTGGCTTTTGATGTCCCTTGATTCCTCCTCACATTGAAAACGCTATGACTTAACGAATTTGCTGAGAATTCCTGGCCACTGTTCTCCTGCCTGCAGGGAAATGAAAAGATGAGGAATGTACTTGGAAGCACAGCAATGAAGCTGGACTTGGCTATATTTTTCTGACTAAATTGAAGACATTGAACTACATACACTCCATGGAGAGGGGGCGGTCCCCCCAGACACAGCCCTTGTGACATATACAGATATGGCAGATTCAGCTGAAGTTGCCAGGGGCACAAGTATTAAATACATTTGGCCAACTTTATCCTTTGTCCAGTGAAAATTCTCAGTCGTATCATTGTTAAAATAAAGGATAAATTTAAATAATTCAAGCACAGTCTCAACCACCTGGTCACTCCCTGGTACATCCTCCCACCTCTAAGTCCTCATCTAATGGTGTGAGCTTGATGCGAAGCATGGTTGCTTCATCAATGGGGAGAATTCAGGGCCATTAAGAAGCTCTATTTGTCTTTGAATTTTAAAGCAAGGGAGATTGGCAGTCTTACATGCAATCTGTTAGGACAGGACTTAGATGGCTTGATAATCTGACCCAAAGCATGTTTTCCACTGAGTAACATCATGGCACTCACTATATCATAGTCACATTTTTCTTTCATATCCTAGGAGTACTGTATTTTATTAAGCATCAGTAATAGTAATAATACTAGTAGCTAACATTTATTGACAGGTGACTATGCTCTCAGCCACACTAGAATATGTGATTATTGTACCCATTATACAGGAAACTGAGGCTCCCCTACAGTACTGCTATGGGCTGAGTTGTGTCCCCCCTGAATTCATTTGTTCAAGCCCTCACCTCCAGTGTGATGGTGTTTGGAGATACAGCCTTGGGAAGTAATTAGGTCATGAAGGTAGAGCCCTCATGATGGGATTAGTGCCCTTATAAGCAGAGATGTAAGAGAGCTCGCTCTCTCTCTCCATGCACCAAGGTAGGGCCATGTGAGCAAACACCTAGAAGGCAGTCATATGCAAGCCAGGAAGAGGACATTCACCAGGAGCTGAACCCACCGGCCCCTTAATCTTGGACTTCCCAGCCTCCAGAACTGTGAGAAGTAAACATCTGCTGTTTGAGCCATAGTCTATGGTATTTTGTTACAGCAGCCCGAGCTGACTGAGACAAGTACATACCTCATAGGATGGTTGTGAGGATTAGATAAATTAATATATGTAAGTAGGTGTGATCTTTAAGTTTGCAGAGAAGCGATGTGTTTTTAGTGACGTCTTGGAAAAGTATTCTTTCTGAATTTTTTTAAATGTTGAATACATATGGTAAAAATACCTTTAGTAAAAACAACAAAAAATATTTGCTGTTTATTTGTAATATAATGTTACACTATATTGAGGAATCTCTTCCTCCCTGTATTTCATCATTTTTGCCGTCACTCCTTGGAATGCTGAAGGGAACATATTTTAATGAAAGAGAAACTGGATCCAGAGTCAGTCGATGTTGGCCCCAGTGACAGCCCTGCTGGCTCGTTACTGATGGTATTACAGCCTCAGACAAACTACCATGCCCCTTCAAGCCTGTGCTTCCTCATCTATTAAACAATAGAAATAACTACCTTGCAATGTCACAGGACTGTTAAAAATCAAATAACATCAAACTTCTGAAGCAACTTCACATGGGCAATACACACATAAGGCATTAGTATAAGCCTGATTCCTTCTGAACCAATCTTCCCTTTGAGCCTGTCGGTAGTTCCTCTTCTCCTTTACTTCCCTCACCATTCTTCTAACTGGAGAACAGCAGTTCAAGTGGCCTCTGTGAAATGGAGTTAGCGTGTAAGGGGATAAGGTCAAAAGTTGTTTCAGTGCTTCACACCACCCATTTCACTCACCTTACGGTCACAATCTGGCCTCCATCTAGGATGACGCCATTCATCTGGGCTATAAAGATGGCGGCTACGGCTTCATAAAGGGCTGTACCGTCCATGTTAATGGTTGCTCCAACTGGTAGGACAAATCTGGTTACACGCTTATCAATCCCCAGATTTTCTTCTAGGCAACGGAAGGTGACGGGCAAAGTTCCGGCACTAAGGGGCAAAGAGAGAGAGAGAGACAAGAGTTATGTCCATTTTAGAGAAGCAAGACAAAGCACAAACCAAAATGCCACCACAAAGCTTTCGTTCTTTTGTTCCAATCAATGTGACTTGAAAAAAGCAGTGTCTGGAGCTAAATTAAAAACCATCGATTTGCCATATAGGCCATTACAGAGTATTGAGTAGAGTTCTGTACTCCAGCAAAAATTTAAAAAATAAAATCCAAATAAAATTTAATTCTAATAATAAAGGAAAAAAAGCCCATTGATTTGGGGTCTCAAATACAATCTTATTAACATGGTAATAGTCAGCAAAATATTTTTGTTGGTTCTAGCTTTTGAGATCTACTCAGAGCTTCAAGTTCTCCTTTCCCTTTGGTCATTGTTTCCATCTTGGATTAAATATTGAAGCCCACGTGATTGCCCACATCAATTGGCTGCCAAAATAAAGTGTCAGAAAAGGATCAGCTATCAACAGTAAGATGGAATGAGGAATTCTTGAATGACCCATAATTTCATGCTAGAAACACTGTTCCCAACAAGATGGACTACATGGGTTGTATCTAGCCCCTGGGAATTGCCCTGAGCCGGGCCTGCTAATGTTGAGAAGGCTGGACAAATATGTTAATGACCATTCAGCAAGAGTCCAAGCTTCTAGCAATTCACTGGGGACCCTCACAGACAGCCCAACTCCCTGATAAATGGTCATTGCCAATTCTACAGTCTCTCCAATGACATAGGGCAGAAAAGCCTGTGCTCTGGAGCTCATCAAACACCCAACAGGGAGTGACTTCACCCCCACTCCTCCCAGGCATGGGATGGGAATTCACGACCATATGAATCAATCTCAAAGGCCAGAACTCCTGACATGTTCTGTGCCTTCTAAGAGTAAGTGTTGCTGAAAGCCAGAATATTATTTCCATGTGGATAGAGGTGATGGGAGGGCAGGCGGATTTGCTTCAAAGTTTAAGCAATATGGAAAGCAATGTAGAACATTCCAACTGCCATGGGAGTACCTTGTGGTCCATTCTCTTTTCTCTTATTCAAACGTTAGCAAACTGTCACCAGTGCAGACAGCACATTTCTCTCTCTTGCATTTACAGCCTTAGTCATAGCTCCCTCCTTCTACTTGTCAAAATTAGGGCTCCAGCCAAGCTGGACAAAGACATCTGCAGAGGTGTCGGTTTCTCAGAGAGTGGGACAGGACCGTCAGCTTCAGGCACGCTAAGTAAAAGGCAGATTCCAGGGCCCACGCAGAACCATAAAAGTCCCTAAAGTTCTAAAATTAGGGTCTCCTAGATCTGCATGTTATCAACCCACGGACCCACAAGCCCTATTAACAACCTTAGGGAAACCAGAGTCATCTTACTGGAACATTCTTTGTGATTTTAGGTCAGGGGTCTTTCTCATGCCTCCTCTTTGGTCTTAGGTGGGGAGAAGAAATGGATGCTTGGAGATCTCTCATTACCAAAACCTTATAAACCCAGGGAGAAAAGTTGGAGTCTGGCCTCATTCACATGCTGGGGTGCCATCGTACCTGGCTTGCTGCCCCAGCTGTTTTAATGAGAAGTTAGTGTCCCTTTATTCCTCTCTCACACACTCCCAGCCCTTTCCTAAGGCCCCTTTGAGGTTACCAGGACACCATGACTAGTCTGAAATGGCAGCAAGGCTATGGTTGGCAGCTGAATTCTCATCGGTATGAATCTAAGGACACTGCTGGGAGGACTGGAACATATCCATTATTATTACTGCATTCATTTTCCCACAGTGTCATCAAAGGGTCTTTAGACAATTCAACAGATTGGAAGAAACAACTGGTAAGGCCTGAAAATATTCTTAATGTCACTACTGGACAGGCTTTGTGTCTTAAAAATCCATATGTACCCCATCAGTCCAAACTGGGACTTGAGAATTTTAACTCTTTCCTGTGTTGACAGGCTGACATTCTGACATTGTTTTTTTGGTTCCTGCCTCAGTGGCCATATGACAGTCTTCAAACGAATAATAACTGTCTGGTACTTGAGATTCTTCTTGTTTTTATCCAGATTAGTTTTAACAGCGCACTCGGAAGTCAGAGGGATGCAGAGAGACGTGTCGCAGGCCATCCCCACTCCATTCAGCTGCCCTGACACCAGCCTCTGTGCCTATTGAGAAAACGGGGTCAACCCTTCCCCTGCACATCCCCATTCAGTCCAACGTCTGAGGAGGTGGAAAGTATATTTAGCGCTGGCTGTCCCAGGGCTTTTCCCCTGTGGTCATAAAGGCAAATAAACCCTGAGTTAATTCTTAGTACGTGACTCCTGCTACAGTGACTTTTTTAAAAAAGAAATTCCTCATCTAGGCAAGAGCCACATTTTAACCAAAGATTAAAACCATATTTTTTTTTCAGATGAAATACAGGGCAAGGGGGAGATATGAGTCTAATGTTTGTGGTCTTGGTCAGATAACCCAAGAATTTGTCTTTGATTTAAATATGATTTTGGGTTTTCCCTATGCTTTTAAGATTTACCTTTGTCTTATAAAGGGACTAGGATAATTGTCTAGTCATTCAAAAGAAAAGATAATGATAATATTTTGAAATAGTGTAGTATCAAAACCATAAAGGTATTGGAAGAAAATATAAAGTTATATTTTATAATCTTTGGCGGAAAAGATATCCCTAAGCAAAATCAAAGTTCTAAATACCAAAGTAAAACTGACGACTTTGACTACATACAAATTAAAACCTGCTAGGGGCAAAAAGCGCTGTAAGGGCTTCCCTGGTGGCGCAGTGGTTGAGAGTCCGCCTGCCGATGCAGGGGACACGGGTTCGTGCCCCGGTCCGGGAAGATCCTACATGCCGCGGAGCGGCTGGGCCCGTGAGCCATGGCTGCTGTGTCTGTGCTCCGCAACGGGAGAGGCCACAGCGGTGAGAGCCCGTGTACCGCAAAAAAAAAAAAGCGCTGTAAGTTTTTAAGACAAATGTCAAGTGAAGGGGGACACTATTTACAACATATGACACATGAGTTGATATTTCTATACATGTAGAGAGCTGAAAACCAATCAGGAAAGGATAAACACCCCAACAGGAAATTAAGCTCACAAACAATTCACAGGGCAGAAGAGGGGAGGGAAGGATGGTCAAAAAGAACATAAAAAAGATGTTTCCCCTCACTAGTAATCAAAATAATGCAAATTCAGTGAGATCACTTTTCACCAATAGGATTTGAAAGTATTAAAGTGACAGATAATGTTCAGTGTTGATGAGCAGGTGGATAAAGGCACACTCGTACCCAGTTAGTGGGTACATAAATGAGTGTACTTTTCTAAATAGTAATCTGGTGATATGTTTCAAAACCATCAGGGTGCTTACCACTGGATTCAGAAATTCCACTTCTAGAAATTTATCCTGAGGGGATCACCAAACATCCTTGCAGAAATGTATTTACAAGGATGCTTGTCACTGCCCTGTTTAATAGACAAGGTTTAAATGTACATTTGGGGTGGGGGATGTATTGTAGTACCTACAGTATATTATTATGAAGTTTAAAAATAGTAGTAATAGATATGTAGTAATAGATATAGTAAGGGCTATATTAATAGATATAACATAACTTTTATGATATGTTGACCAGTGAAAATAGCAGTGTAAAATATCTATACATAATAAGAACTGGAAATGTACATAACTGTAAAGATTAACAAAAAGGTTACTACCAGTTATCAGTGGTGTTGCCCATTCTTCTTCCTCCAAAATTTTATACACTGTCTGAACTTTTTCATAATGACCAAATACCATGCTCATAACCAGAAAACAAAAATAAAACTAAACATGATTGTTTTTATTTTTGAAAAAAAAGTTAACTTTTTCACGAAAATGAGAAAATCTTTATGGATAGAGATACTTAGCGATAAGAAATGTATAGGACCAAGAAGGAAAAAGGAAATTTTGAAGTGTTTCCCTTCATCTTGGGAAACTGAATGCAGAATCTAGATCTCCCGAATTGTATAGATTTTCGCTTTTTCTGAAACCTCACGTTCTACTAGTACAGAATTCTCACTGATTTGCAAGATGGAAATATAATTTGGCTTTCCCAGGTTGTCACCACTATTGGCCTGTTAGGTCACTTAAGAAAAACCTGACTGACTGCTCAGTAGTTTTGGAAAAAAAAAAAAAAAGCAGTCTCCCTGTGTCACAGAGCGGCTGCCTCCCTGGCAGTGAGTGGTCATGGGTTCTGTAACAAGGACCTGCCAACCTGTGACTCCAGAGATAACGCTGAGCTATGGGTTGCAGAGTTTACTTGCCTCCCTGCCACCTGCTTTATGGCCTCAGTCTTTGTTTTGTGACCCAAGGATACACGTGCAGAAATAAAAGCAACTATTGCAGGCTGAAAGAATAAAACTCTTTTAGTCTTTGAAATTCTACATTGCTGGCTGTTTCTTATGTATCTGTTTTTGTTGGGTTGTTGGTTTTATTTTTGCTAAATTCAGTCCAAGATGATATCAAAAAAAAAAAAAAAAAGAGGCTTTTTTGCTTGCATATCTCTGGAGTCCTCACTGGCCTCTGGGAGGAACTGGGACTAGGTAATGAAGAAGGAACTGACTCTCGGTCAATGTTAAGTCAAATCAATGCCAACCTGACTTTCCTCAAAGTCAACGGGGCAGAGTAGTTCCATTACAGGTTCAAAGACTTGTCTGATTTCCGGTTTGTTTGAAAAATCTCACCTAACCTACCGTTTACCCTGCAAAACCTTGTTCTCCTACTTTTGAAAAATTATTCCAGTACAGTGATATAATAGCCTTTCTCAAATCACAGGTGAGAGAATTTCTTAAATAAAATAACATCCTGTTACACCCTTTTGGAAAACATTTAAAACTGAACTAATGCTATATGTGGCAAATTATGTCTAGAGATGAATAGCATGTATTCACCTGGGAAACAATATGGGATCATAGTTCCAAGATAGCTACATACCAGCAAAAAGTTCATCAGAAAGCTTAAAAGTTCCTAAAAGGAGTGAAGAATCTAAAATGTTCCACTTTTTCAAAAATATTTTAAAAATATGTGAAAAGTGTTCTCAATGAACGCTGTGATGGGAAGGTTTCGAAAAAGAGGAAGTGACAAAGAAGGAAAAGGAATGAGCAGAGAGAAACAACAGTGATTTCTTGTGTTCTCTACCTGGAAGCGGTACCCAGGGCAGTGATCCAAGCTTGGAAAATTCCAGCAAAAAAAGAGAAAGGGTTTTTCCTGGTCACTAGAAAGTAAATCAAGGGGAGAAAGATGCCCCCATGGATGATGAGGCCGACAATCACCGTGATCATGTACATCCCCAGTTGTCTAGCAACCACTTCTAAGTCCTTGATTGCAATGATCTTCCCACAAATTAGGCAGGCGATACCTAGGGGAGAGTACCTGAAAAACATAAAAGAAAATAAAAAAGCATTGAAGAGCTGGTGATGGGATTCAGAATTTAAATCAGGACCCTCCTTCATACCACACCCTGAGGAAAACCCTTTGCATTCCTGTAGAGTGTTGCCAAAAGAGGACTATGAGATTCAATAGATGTTATATTTTGCTTCCGACTAACTGCATTATCTGAAATATTTCCTATGGACCTGGTGGCCCCTGCTTTGTTGAAAAATCCCAAGGCAAACTTTGTTGCTCAGGTAATTTTTTAGGGCTAAAGGAGACATCATTTACCACCTCTTAAGTAAGCACCAAGATAAAAGTTGAGAGACACCCAGGTTACATCTTTGAGAATCTTATTTGATTTCTCTGTTCCAGATCTCCTTCCTTGAACATTGAGAATAAACTTAGAGCTTCTCAGAAAACTCATTAGAGTTTCACCAATTTACAAACACTGGTGTTTGTAGATAGTGCTTTGTTTTTGCCTTGGAAGGAATCTAGGAAATACATTGAGAGAGAGAGAGAGAGAGAGAGAGAGAGAGAGAGAGCTGCCCAAACAAGAAAACCATCTGAGCCAAGAAGCATGTTTAGAAAAATGTGGTTTTATTACTTCCAAGTCTGAAAGTGTTTCTTTCCATACCTACTCCAAGAGTAATGCTGGCTGCCATCCATCGTGTTTCAAGAATATGGGGACACATCCACACACTTAATTCTTACAAAAACCCTAAAACCAAGGAATCATTATGCCTGTTTGGCAAACGAGGAAATTGAGGTTTGGAAAAGTTAAATAACTGGCCCAAGACCATGAAAACAGGAAGGAGGAGGAGAATAATCTCAGATCTGTGAAACTGTACCACTGGGGGTTTTCATCCCTGCCAACCAAACCACTTCCTTGAAGGAGCAATTGTAGCTTTCTGTACATAAGCAGACAATTTGTTCTCTACCAATCTATCCTAAAATAGACTTATTTTATATTTCTATATTATTATTAATTTATAGCGTGCTTGGAAACAATCTACTGTTGCCCTCACTCTTGAGTCAGCTAACCATGCTCTCTCTCGCCTTGGGTATACTTTTTGCACGTTTGGCAACACCCTTTTTTTATTGCCTAATCCGGTGGTGTTGGAGCATGAACTTGTTCAGCCTGTAACACTTCTGACTGAAATGAAAATGTTTGTGGGAACGTGGACACCTTATTAAGAATTATGAACATATTTGAAAGAAAGACTGTGGGGCAAATGAAGTCACGCTCCCAGCCTGGGGAGGGGAGTCAGGAAAAAGAGAGGGCCAGCAAGCAGATTGGGTGGCTTTTGTTTTTTCAGTTGTTTGGAGCAAAAGCACTTCCTGGGTTAAAGCAAAGCCATGAGGAGTAGACGAGAGTCATATACACGATTACACGAGACACGGAGCCTGTCCAGCCACTTACCAGCTATATGACCTTGGTTAGTGACTTATTCCCGTTTTACAGATGTGCAAGTCGAGGTGTAGAGAGGCTACCTGCAACCTCATGGGATTGCTGTGAGGATTAAGTTTTTGAACATGCATAGGTACGCACTATCAAAAATCCCTCCCCCATCCCTGTCAGTGCCATTAGTTCTCTGACTCCTGACACAGGAGTCCCTTGCAGGTTCTGTTTTCCCCATGTCCCCTCATCACTTATGCGTAATGAGTCAAGTCTGAGTTGAAGAGGTTTCCTAAGGCATCCCACAGGCTACTGCCACCCAACTGCACATGTTTTTATGTGCAAACTATTTTCTCAAGAGGAATCTTCTCCTGAAAGAGCTGATTTGTAACTGACACTAAGTAGTTAAAACATGAGCGTGGCTACTCTCCCTGAGGAGCATCTAGCCTGTAGTCTCCGTTTCTCCGTTCCTGGAGGTGAAGCCTGGCAATATTTGAGGGCTGCTTTCCCGGGAATTAGGGAGTCAAGTCATTAAACCTTCGGCTTTCCCACCATTTTATATTATCTTGCTGTGCCCATAGTCACAACATCTCATAGATCAGTCGGGTGGTCTCAGGGGCCAGCTCTGTGTTCCCTGCGATTGTAAACAACTAAGCAGAATGCACTTTCTGATAAAACCAACAAGCATCTAGCTTCATAAACCAAGAGACTAATTCTTTCCCAAGCACCAGTCACCCCTTAAAGATGTCCAGAAAAACACAAATACGAGCTGTTTTGGGTGCCATTCAATTTTCCTGCTCTTCTAGGACAAGCGATTTGTAGAATGGAGAGAAAATGTGTTCAAGGCTCTTTGCCAAGCAAGACCAGCTATAGAGACCCCTGGAGGACACATCTGCCGGAGCCCAATGTTAGAGAGAGGTAACAGGTTATCTCCAGAGCACTCAGCTCGCTGGGAGAAACCTGAGTCCCCAATATCAATGGACAGTGTCATTCAAAGGCCGGAAGGTAGAGTGTTAGGGTAAATAAATATGGCAAGCAGGGGCCCTAGTTAACCCAAACACTTTGGTCTCTGGAACTAGAATGAGCATTAATTAGGACAGGGAAAGAGGCTTTGTTCTATGATGTTTTTTAGGGTCATGACTTCCCTGCACCTGTTTTCAAAGCAGGTAGCTTAAGCCTCCACTCAGGAGCTGGAGCTTCTGAGTTCCTGGGTTTCCATATGAACGAATTACCTTGTTGAAAATATACTCAATGGAAAAGAAAAGGCAAATGTTCAGGGCTCAAGGTCACCATTTAAAGTTTCTGAGATGAAGCAAACAAAGCCATAAACTAAAGTGCATAAAGAGGCTGAGAGCTCCGTTGAGTGTTCTGAAGCCAAGTGATGCCCAGTAATTGTTGGACCAGTTTCTAAATTAGAAGGACATAACTACAGAGCTGGGAGAGGGAATGGCTCCCTTGCTGCCCTGAGACTGGCTATATCCTCAGCTCTGGGCTTCATTTTCAAAACCACTGATTCATCCAGGACTGGCCTGTGGCATCTTTTTCTTACCGTTGCATCACCCATTCTTGCCTCTGCCCACTTTGCGCCTCAGTCCTTGTCATCCTAAGGTTCCAGCCAAGATGCCCCCTCAGGTCTGCTCTCTACTCCACAAACAGACCCATCCACAGCACTAACATACCCTGAACTCAGTCAGTGCATCCATAGACTTCTGCCTCAGAATTACCTGGCCTGCCCGAAACAACATGGATCCCCTGGACCCACCACATACCTATTGAGTTAGAATTTCCTGGAGCTGGCCTTGGGACATTTATATTTCAAACAAGTTCCTGGGTAATTCTAATGTGTTTGGAAATCAATGTTTCCAAATAAATCAATGTTTCCAGGAATAAAATCTGATCTGCAACTGATGAAATACAGATAGTCCTTGGTTAGTCTTTGGAAACCATTTACTTTATTTAGCTGCATCTTATTCAAGGCCTTTGGTTTTAACCCACTAAAGTGATAAATTTGGGACTTTCAGGCATTGGACAGATGGTGGGCCAGACACCTGGAGTGGAGGTAAGTGGAGGGACTTTCTCAGTCCTGCCATAAAGCCACTCTGCTTCTGTCCCACATGCTGCCAACAGCAACACCACTCTGCCAGTTTGGGACAGATTTCGAGAGAACTCAGAGTTGCAAGTCTGTCAATAAAGGCTTAAACAGGGGCCTCCCTGGTGGCGCAGTGGTTGAGAGTCCGCCTGCCGATGCAGGGGATGCGGGTTCGTGCCCCGGTCCGGGAAGATGCCACATGCCGCGGAGCGGCTGGGCCCGTGAGCCATGGCCGCTGAGCCTGCGCGTCCGGAGCCTGTGCTCCGCAACGGGAGAGGCCGAAACGGTGAGAGGCCCGCGTACCGCAAAAAATAAAAAATAAAAAAATAAAAAAAAATAAAGACTTAAACATACATTCCAAGAGTTACCTAAGGTGCTCTCGGTACTCAGGGTAAGGAAGTAACACAAATCTCCATATTCCCAGTCCACTTAGGGAAAGGTTCTGGGTATCCAAGGAGTGACTTTTGCTGGGAGTTACCCTATGAGGATTAGAACTTTTCATCAGGATACAGTGAAAGTCAGTTCATGGAGCCTCCAGGCTCCATTATATCACCAGTGCCTAAAATTGTTGTCAGCATGGCAGAGGTGCTCAAAAGTATTTAGGAAGTGAAGGAATGAATGGATGGATGGGTGGACTGGTGGATGGATGGATAGTGGTGGTGGTGGGTTAACTGGGAGGGAGAATTGAAAGAGTGAGCAGAGATTTCACTTCTCACTTTATGTTTCTATGGTGGTGAGACTATGAAAAGTTTTACTTTCTATTTAAGTTTTGCAGATTTTGAAAAACATGTTTTAAAGCACTTTGTGAAAAAATGAGGATATGAAAATCACACTGAAATGAAGGTTTTTCTTATTTTTTGGTGATTCAGAGGGCTTTGCGGGGGCTTCCCTGGTGGCACGGTGGTTGGGAGTCCGCCTGCCGATGCAGGGGACGCGGGTTCGTGTCCCGGTCCGGGAGGATCCCGCATGCCGCGGAGCGGCTGGGCCCGTGAGCCGTGGCCGCTGGCCCTGCGCGTCCGGAGCCTGTGCTCCATAACGGGGGAGGCCACAGCAGTGAGAGGCCCACGTACCGCAAAAAAAACAAAAACAAAAACAGAGGGCTTTGCGGGATTCTTAAGGAATTCACAAATACAGAGAAGCAAAGGGTTACAGATTGAATTGATAATAATGGTAATTACAGTGTAACAACAATAATAATGCTAGTTCATACAAAACGCTCAGACAGGTCCTGGCACATAGGAAATGCTCCATAACTATTGGTCACAATTTCACTTAATTCTCACAGCAACCCTATGATACGGATTCTATGATCAATCCATTTCACAGATCAGGATGAGGGGTTTAGAGTGTTTCTAACTTACCTAAAGTCACACAGCTAGTAAGAGGAGGACCCTGGGTTCAATCCAGTCTGAGGTCAGATGGAAGTTGATTAAGGTAATGCTTCTCTATAATTCCAATTACTTAGGCTGTGCAATGAGTTAACCTCTGTGCTTAAGTTTTCTCCTCTGGAAAATAGGGCTCACCAAAGTACCTATTTTTGCTAGGTATTATTGTGAAAAATAAATGAGTCAATGCATGCAAAGTATTGGAATAGTATTAAGCATACAGCAGGAATCTGGTAAATCTTAGTTGTGATTTAATAATAATTATAATATTATTATCTTCTCGGTAATAGGTACAGGACAGTAATTGAAAAAGAATTGAGCATATAGCAAGAATTTAATAATTCTGTTATAATTTTATAATAATTATTGTTAGAATAATAGTAATGTCCTCAAAGATGCATTTTGCTATCACTACTCTTCTTACTACCACGTAGAGAAGACTATGAAAGAACTCTGATGATTTAAGCTTTGAGGGTGTCAGTTAAGGAGTGGTTGGTTGTTTTATCCAGAACCTTCTCACACACATCGTTTTCACTTGTTGATGAAGCAGCTAAAGAATGAAAGAAATGTGTAGGATTGGCATCTCACGTCATATTACACCCTCCGGACGGTTAGCCTAGATGAGGTAACCCAACAGCTGTCAGAAACTGTTCCATAGGTCTTATTCCTGACTCACAATTGCTCTTCATCTCCTGGGATATGATGCTAAATCTTTAGGATATTTGGTTTCAGTGAAGAGGAAACTTCTCGATCCACACCCACTCCATCCCTGCAGAGAAGGGAGGCTACACTTTATCCCATGACTCATCTGATTTCCTAGAAGATTCCCTCTGCTCCAAGGGCTCAGTGGAAATGACAGTGGTATGGATAAAGGAAGGAATCTTCATACATTACCCACATCGCTGGCGTCATTATACAGAAAAATGGACTGCATATTTAGAGCTAGGGTGCTCACTCTGCTAGGAATTTTAGGAAATGAAGGCAGATCCTAAGGTTTAAAACCAAGAGGCCTATTCTGCTTCGTGTATTACCATTTATTAATCTCTCAGCAAGCTCAGAATGGATTTAAAAGACTTTAAAAATATTTTTACAGCATGACCTCGTGTGTGACTTTAAGTCTTCACACAAAAGAAATATTCAGAAAACTAGCATTGACTGGGAAGTTGAAGAATCAGTACAATAATCGAAAAGAACACACTATTGCACTAGCATCCTTTCCATGTTTCTAAAGTACAAGAAAGCAATGATCAACACCAGCCAGACCTATTAAATACGGTTCATGAAATCACGGGAAACATCTTCTTGATCTAGGACCCTGGGGCCTTCAGCTAGCCCCTCGTTCCTCAAGTTTTAATAAGAATTTACTACAGGCACATCATCATGTTTGGAGATAAAATACAAGTCGAGAACAGATTGTGCCCTTGTAAGTTGGGAGTAAGGGTCAAGGAAAGGAAGAAGAGAGAACGAAGGTGGAATTTCAGGGGAAGACACATGGAATCGGAGGAGGACCAGAGGAGGAGTGGGGAGGCTGGTGGGGAGCACAGGGAATCTGTAATGCGGAATTCCTGTGGCAAATAGAGCACACATGTGGTTTGGCCTTATTTCTAGGCAGGCATACGGGACCGTCATAGGGGTCTGAAATGAACGTATGTAAAAATCTTTCTGTCTGATAGATACCGGACACGAGAAGTTTCCAGTGACTGGAGGTGACACAATTTCCTTGGTGAAGGAGAGAACACCTATGCTCTGGGCTACCCTATACTTCAGAACCACTGATCATAAACACACATGAAATGAAGTGGAGACAATATTGCTTACATGATTCAAACAACAACAAAAAACCCCCACCCGCTTACATATCAAAGGTTTTGATATCAGCATAAACCCCAGCTCTTCCTCTCCCTAGCTATACACTCTTAAGCAAGTTAACTCACCTCAGTGAGCCTCAGTTGCCTTTTCTGTCACATGGGAACCATAACACCATCTTTGCAGGGTTGTGGGGATTACATTTGATAGGTATGAAGCACTCTCATGGCTCTTGGCAGATAAGAGGAAATCAATAAAAGATAGTTTTTATGATGATGGTGGTCACGATGATGTTAAAGAATCAAGATTTAGTGTCTCTGGACCAGTTTTCTCTGCTGTAAAACCAGAGAGTGGGACCAGATTTCCAAGAGCACTTACAATTCTAATCTTTTGTGATTTCACTTTTTCTTGCATGGCCTGAGAACTGCCTTTTCTTTTTATATGAGTCACGAGTAACCCAGGTCTAAGGTGCATTGCTTTTGGACACCAGAATACTGGCGCAGTGGTTCTCCCAGACACCCTGGGTCATGCCATATCCCTGAGATCTTGGCCCTGTCTTGGTGTAGTGTATCCTGATACCGCTCACCTTCAGGATTACTAATTGGTTTTTTCAGCTTTTCTGTTCTTTCTTTCTTTCTTTCTTTTTTTCTTTTTTACGTCTTTTCTTCCAGGGCAGGGATGGAAGGGGCCATCCCATTTTATGTAAGGGGCCAAGTACTAAATATTTTAGGCTTTACAAGGCTACGCAGTCTTGGTCACAGCTACTCAACTCTGTCTTTTCGCACAAAAGTAACCCTTGACAATACATGAACAAATAGGTATGGCTGGGTTCCAACAAAACTATTTATGGGCACTGAATGTGAATTTCACATAATTTTCACGTGTCGTGGAATATTACTTCTCTTTTGATTTTTTTTTTCAGTCAAATAAAAACATAAAACCCATTCTTAATTCACGGGCCATACAAAACAAATGGCAGATAAGATCTGGCCCACAGGCTATAGTTTTCCAGCCCAGTTTCTAGTGAAAGCTCCAAAAAAGAGATTTGCATCCCTTTCTCAAAGTCTTTCTGGAGTGCCCTTTGCTTGGTTCACACCTGCCCACTCTTTCCTGCTGGGAGGGCTCCAGTGTCCTCTGGCAACCCCAAGGCCATCTCACACGCCACCACCGTGAAGTAAGAACAAGCCCACTTACCACATGATCATGATCACTAGCTTCATTACAATCTCATTCAAAATGTTGAAGAATTCCACCATCAGCTTGGCCTGCTCGCCCATCTTCCCCATGGCAATGCCAAAAGCAATGAAAAACCCTATCAGACCTGTTGGGTGAATCACAGGACACAGAAGGACAAATTACCAAGTATGTGTTTCTTCTCCCTTGTTCATTACTATCCCCCGCGTATGGAGCCACATTCTTACCACCTGTTACCCTATGAATTAGGCATTAAAAGACAAAAGCATTACGCTTCACACTTTTCCCCTGGATAATTATGGCTTTCCTGAATCCTTTCCACACAAGCAAGTGGAAATGTAAGCAGGTTAGTTCCTTGCAGAAAAGGAATTCATTTTCATTCCAAACTGAAAAGTACTCTCTTCTCTCTCCTCCTCACTTATGAAATCATGTGGAAGCAGATTCCATTAGTACATAGATTAAAGAAGGAAGGCTTGTTGGGACTTGGGGATTACCATGCAAACTTTGGAGCCAATATTAGAATAGCAGAGACCAATTAGCCAATTCAGTCTCTGCCAGGGTTGTGTCTGTATTAGTTTGGTGTTATCCCAAGTTAATGCATGGCTGGTATGTTTCACTCTAGGAAAATCCTAAACATAAAATATTTTTCCTGTTGCTGTGTGCCTAATTGGAGAAGGAGGAAGAATCTCGAAAAATCCAAGGGAAAGCAATGAAAAATCCAAAACAGTTGGGAAACCCCAAATGACCCAATTTGTTTGGATTTAACCTGTTATTTATTAATTCATCGTCATTGTTTCCATGGTCAAAATGGTTAGAATGCTTTCTTTTTTATTGTGTTTTTTTTTTTCAGGATCATAAAGTGAGAACATAGTCTTTGTTACTTCCTTGGCCCTCTTCTCCCTTCACTTGATATCCCTTGACTTCCATCTAAATGCAGCCCCCCTCCCCCCAGCCCCCAGGCTCAATCTAATCCCAGGCCAGGAGGATTTGAGGAACCCTGTTCCCACCTCTTGATGCTGGCATCATATTGCACTAGGTCCTGGACCAAGCCCAACAGCCAACCTTGGGTCTTATTTCTATGTTACCTTTTACCTCATTCCCTGAGTATCCGTCCAGGGAACCTGCCTGATACCTTAGCTCCTCCAAGGCAAGATCTGGCTTCTCTCTCCCCAGAATATTTTCTCTGGCTCCACTCTGTCCCACCCCTCTTCCTCGGCCTCTCACCCTGGAGTCTCACCCAGACCCTCCCATGGCTAACGGATGTCCCTGTTACTGCCTGAAGGCTCTCTGGATTTCTGATAACCAGTCATCATGCGCCCCCCAGCTCCCAATCTGTTATTGCCAATCTTGGGGCTCCAACGCTGAAGGCTTGCATGGACTATAAATCAATGTCATTGTCCCCTTGGCAACAAGCCCTTGTTTGCCCATTTGACTTTTTCTCTGACCTGCAGTACGGGCCATCCACTCTTCCCTCTCTCTCCCTCCTCTCCTTACACCTACCCTGTCCCAGTTTGGCAGACTTCATTTCCGGTCCCTCCCTATTCCATCCAATTTCCTATTGCGTCCGTCCTTTTATGCCTGCAGTCTTGAGCTGTATCAAAGTAAATGATAGCATTATAATATGATTCTCTTAGGGGAAAATTCTTTCTAAACCTCTGCTTTTACCTTTTCTCTAGTCACCGAAACCACTCACCTCCCACACCAAGCACACGTTAACCCAGACTGTTCAACTACCCTTTGCTACCCTCAGCAAAAAGAATCTATCACTTGCACTGAAATTGTTAATCCTCGGTAGTTAATATTTCCCCTTTTTAGCTCTTGGCCAGAAAGCTTAACTAGTGACTTATAAGTGAGTTATTGGCCATAAACACAAAGGCTTAATGAGAATTAGCATGACCTAGAATCAGAGTGACAGAAGAGAGCGACCCAGTTCTGTGGTAATGGAGGAAATCAAATTCAGGCTCTCGTCAAGCCCATGGAGAGGAGTTTGCTAGGTGTGTGGTGAGCAATAATCTGTGAACATTCTGGCTGAGAAAAGCTAGTATCACTTGGTTAATTCCATTTGGAAATTTTAAGAGAAAATGTTCAAGGTCTCAAGGTCCCCAAGAACTAGAATAAAATAGCTCCCCTGGCAGGGTCACCAGGAACGGGCCATCTCTATGAGTGTAAGAGAGAGATGTTGAAAGGAGCTGTCTCTCACAGGAGTTGATTTAAGTGGTTGGGATTGAAGTAGAGCCCAGAGCAGTCTGGAGTTTTGGGGGGTAAAGAAATGAGTCTTTAAAGAAGTGGGGGCCAGAGCCAGGATTTTTCTCTTCACTCTTGCAATGCTTGATCCTTGGGACTTTCCAAAGCCGAAAAACAAACCAAAACCAAAAGGCCACCATCTCCGCCCTTGGAAGACAATGGAAAGAACCTTATTTCAGCCATGATTTGTAAATGGGAAGTTTCTCAACAATCTAACTTCCCTTAGCTTTCCAGAGCTTCAATTTGCACTTGGAAACCCACAGCCAGCTTGTGCATTTCCCTCTGTAAACACTGCCTCATTGAAGTCGCTGGAACAGGGGTGTTTCATTTGAACAAAGCCCTCTTAGACTTGGTCACTGGGGTTGAGAGAGTCGTGAATTGTGTTGAAACTCCCTGGTACAGCCAAAGGTCATGTGACTTCCCAGAATCCACCAGAACTCTGGAAATGACCACAAAAGTCTTCTGAATGATTCACCCCAAAGCTCTGGCCCCATTACTCATGGCCACAGTAGAAAATAGTGGGGCCACTTTGACCATAGGGTTTGTGGGGCAAGGGGATTTGGGAATGCCTGAAAGGGTCACAGATATCTGGACAGTGGGAGAGAAGAGCCACTCAGGGTTGGATGCTGAGGATATCTGCAAACCCTCCTTCTCAGAGGAACTCTCCTATCTTCTCCTCTCGCCTCCCACTGGTTGTCAGCCATGTTTATTGATCTTCTGTTGCCTGGCAACCCGGTCAGCTTATCTCTTCCCTCTCTCTCTGCTTCCTGCCAGGTCAAAGAAAAAGACACTTTTCACTGGTCGGGCAATCCTTCTCCCTCCGCCTCTGTTTCTCCACCGTTCTGGATAAGTAAGGAGAACGGTTACCAAATTTAGAACAAACGAAAAGGACTCCCAGGTAAAATCTGAATTTCAGAAAAACAATGAAAAACATTTTTTAGTACAAGTATATCCCATGTAATATTTGGGACATACTTAACACTTGAAAATTATTTGTTGTTTATCTGAAATTCACATGAAACTGGGCACCCTGTATTTTATCTGATGCCCCTAGCAAAGAGACAAGGGCATTTGATCTCCTAGATGGTAAAGTGAGCTCAACCTTTTCTAAACAGCTCTCATTCAAATCCTTAGAAATCTCGCTTGCGTGGATCAACATACTTCTTCCACATAGATCTCCCATTTCTCCCAGCTTATGACCAAATGTCTTGTCTTGGGACACCATTCTAACAGTGGATGGGGGTTATTATGGGTGGGGGAGTGAACCCGGAGGGTGGATGGGGAGTAAAGTGAGCAAACTGGAGTCACCCACACAATGGGGAGTCTCTATCCCCTGTGGGGTGTTTTCTACTGAGCCACTTAGCACTCCACCCCCGGCCTTTAATGATGACAGCGGCTCACATGATAAAGCATATGGCGCGTACCATCGTGCCTACGTGCACAATCTCATTGAATCCTCACAATGATCTACAGGAGAAATGCCAACCCCATGCCCACTTTACAGATGAATCTTGAGAAGTGGAGGAGCCAGCCCACGATTAGATAACCGGTGAGTGGTCCATAAGGGATCCAAACTGGATACAAAACAGTCTAACGTCAGAGCCAAAGAACCCCTGGGATGACACTCTCAGAAGGTTCCAAGCTCACTGAAATCCCAGAAAGTTAAGCCAGACAGTCTCCTTTTGACAAGCTCGTTTTGGCACCAGTGCCAACACTTTCGCTCCTGATAGCACTGCATTTGTTTACAGACTGTGAGGGCTGGGGTGGGACAGCCCCCATGCCTAGCATAGTCCTGGGACAGACACAAGGGCGCCTCAAAAAGAAATGCTTAGGAAATGAAAGGATTGGACATGTAACTTCATGAAATGGAGAGTCAGAGAGAGTGACTTGCCAACACCACGCAGAAAGTGGGGGGAAGTGCCCTGCGAACGTCAGTCCCCTCGCTTCGCCCATACCCCAGTCCAGCTGCCACGTCCCCACGTGCTATTGCTCCTGCCGTCTCCCTCGCCCCTCCCCTCTCAGTTTTCAGTCCCAGTGACCCTCGAATTCGCTCCCCAGAGACAGCCTCTTGCTCCACCTACAGGACAGCAGGGCGATCGGCTTTCTGAGAAGGAAGCCAGGATGCCTAGGTGCTGACCTGCAGGGAAAGCTGGCCACGTGGCCCCGGCAGAGGCACCTCCCCCAAGGAGATGAAGACCAGTGTGCCTACCTAAGACATTCATGCCGTCCTTGAACTCCAGGCCCTTCTTGATAACCACCTGCGTCTCCTCAGGCGGCTCAGTCACAGTCTCATTCAACAGCGAGAGGACAGCATTGGTGGCATTGCTGTCCTCGTCTGATGGAGTGGCCACCAGGACTTTCTTTGTCACTGTTTGAATCTAATGGAGTGGGGAAAAAAAACCATAAAGATGAGAGGTTTGGTGTAAAAGGTCACCAAAAGCCTGGCCGCTTACATAAATGTTTGAATTCCCAATATGTCAAAAATATTATAATTAAGAAATGGCCAAACAAGGTTATGAAATCGGGGAATATTTTATATGTTTGTGCTTGACAGAGTGACGCTTCATGGCACAAATGCAGTGGGATACGACTGTCCTCATCCCACGATAATGACGGGATTTATAACATTCTTTTGTAACTACTATAAGCAGTGTGATTGGTAATGGGACCCAAGCTTCAAGTTGAGGGATGCCTGTCTGCTTGTTTCATTCCCGTGGAGATAGTAGCAAATGTGAGACCCAGCTGGATGCCCTGCTAGCCCCTGTGGAGGGTCCTGGATCTGGTCACAAACAGGAGGGCAGGGGTCTTGTTGGAAGTCAGATCAGCACCTCATGATCCAGGTGATTTGCTTCTCCCTGCCTGGTTCCTGTCGCACGGAATCTTCACAGGCCCACTCTCACTGAGGCTCCTCCCAGAGCCTGGCTCTGCTGGGAAGCTCCATGTAGCTGCCAGCAGCCCCCATGGCAGGGTCACTGGCTCATACTCCATATGTAAGGTGGGAAGACACCCACTCCTTCGGGGCGGTGGTGCCAAGCCTTGCTCAATGTTCCCCAAGCATCCTTGTGCAAACGGCCCCCTAAGAAGCTCTCACGCTATTCCTCGACATCTGGGGCGGCCACCCTATTTTTAAAGGTGCCAGGCACCCTGCATGCTGTGAAAACTCACGTCTAAGCCCCGAGAAACACTACCTCCAGGGGCATTAAAACAGAAGTCATGCAGAATCCTAGAACGTCAGTGCCGGCACGTAGTAGGCGACAGATGGCTGAAGCCTGAATAGATACAGAAGAGGGGGCATGGAGAAGTCAAGTGGCTCATAGACGTCATAGAATTATTGGGAGAACTGGGACCTCAACTCAGATGCACTGACCACCACTGAGGTCTTTCACCACCTGTGTTGCCTGATAAACTCTATGGACCCAACCGTACAGCAGCTGGGCCCGAGAGTAAGCAAGGCTGACCTGACCAGCTCTCCTAACTGGGAGAGAGGGAAGCATAGCATTCCCTGAGGCAAGGCAGGTACTCTGTGTTCTAACCTGGCCACATGCACTTGTGCAGGGAGAAGGGCAGCCCCAGCTAAATGGGAACGGGCAGTTCATTGGTTCCCTTGGTCTGGGCAACGCTGGCACAAAGAGAGAACGCAAGAAGGATCTGAAGGGAAGCTTCCATGAACAACAGAGTCACCCTCCTGGGGACAAAGTGGGGATCAGAGCCAACTGTAGGCCTATCCTGAGAAGGCTAAAGAAGCCAAAGTTCAAGTTCAAAGGAGTAACGGCCATGGGCCTGAATAAATGGTGCTTCCAGGAACAGGGGGGCGGCCAGCTGCTCCACCTTTGACAACTATTACTTCTTGTTTCAACAGGAGCCCCTCAAGGCTCACAGGGCTGAGTAACTAACCCCAGGACAGACAGCTAGTGGTTTACTGAAGCAGCATTCAAAATGAGTTATGTTCAGCTCCAAAATCTAGCTTCCAGAGAGCACGGCTCAGCAGCTGAGTGGAAGGTTGGACGACAGGCCGAGTTCTCTGAATTCTCAGTTCAAGCCTGTTTGGGTTGAAGAACCCCAGCTGGCTGCCAACTCCAGTCCGAGCCACCAGGGTCTCTCACCTTAAAACCTGCAAAAGCCTGCTCAGTGACTCACCTCCTCTTCCTGGCTACCTGCGATCCCCAGGTAAGTAGCTACCTGGAGCTCTGTCTATATCCAGAGCTACCAGGTTGATTTTTTAAAAGTAGAAAAACAGGGCTTCCCTGGTGGCGCAGTGGTTGAGAGTCCGCCTGCCGATGCAGGGGACACGGGTTCGTGCCCCGGTCCGGGAAGATCCCACATGCCGCGGAGCAGCTGGGCCCGTGAGCCATGGCCGCTGAGCCTGCACGTCCGGAGCCTGTGCTCCGCAACGGGAGAGGCCACAACAGTGAGAGGCCCGCGTACCGCAAAAATAAATAAATTAATTAATTAAATAAAAATAGAAAAACAGTCATCTCCTTGCCTAAACTCTTAGAATAAGAACCAGAGTTTGACCCTGGCCTGCCAGGTCCGCCTGCACCCACTCCACTCCCCAAGCAGCAGCCTTGCTTCTCTTCTCACCAAATGCTTGCCAACCTCCATGAGCCTCTGCCCCTGCTTAGCGGGCTCTTCCCCCAGTTCTCCTCAGGCTGGATCACTCTTTTTTTTTTTTTAATAAATTTAATTATTTTATTTATTTATTTTTGGCTGCGTTTGGGTCTTCGTTGCTGCGCACCAGCTTTCTCTAGTTGCTGGAGAGCAGGGGCTGCTCTTCGTTGCGGTACGCGGGCGTCTCGTTGCGGTGGCTTCTCTTGTTGCAGAGCACGGGCTCTAGGTGCACAGGCTTCGGTAGCTGCAGCACGTGGGCTCGGTAGTTGTGTCTCACGGGCTCTAGAGCGCAGGCTCAGTAGTTGTCGCGCACGGGCTTAGTTGCTCCGCGGCGTGTGGGATCTTCCCAGACCAGGGCTTGAGCCCGTGTCCCCTGCATTGACAGGTGGATTCTTAACCACTGCGCCTCCAGGGAAGCCCCGGGCTGGCTCATTCTGACCCTTTATCGTCTCAGCTCAGACGTCTCCCCCAGTTACTAGCCCATCATCCTGCTCCAGCTCTCAGAGTGCACTTACCTTAATTTTCAAGTACCTTGTGCGTTTACCTGACATTTGTTCTGGTCTATCTCCCCACAGTCCCTGAAAGTAAGTCAGCTCCACTGAGCAGGGACCCCGACTGGTTCATTCTCTGTGGCATCCTGTGCACCCAAATATCGGCCAAAGGAGCAAACCCAGTTCAGTGAATTCCCCGGAAGAAAGGACCCCATGTGGTCACTCTCACTGGGCCTGATGAATGTGGTCAGGCCACACCTGACAGCCCGTTGCCACCTTGGAAACCTCACCTTGGTTCAGAGTCAGCCCGAAGCAGTGAACAGGAGGCCTCCCTGCTCTCAGAGACACAGGTCCTGCCACCTTGGGGGAGGAGCCTCTGCACTGGAGACAGCACGCCTTTCTCTTTATGTCTCTGTGTCTAACTCTGGTCCTGAGGCTCCCTCCACCCAAGAGAGGTTATTTGAAACCACTCCCAGCTGTACCCCAAGGGCACGGAAGGCATCACCCGGCACCCTTTCTCTCTGGTAATTCCATGTCACCGTCAAAGAGTTCCCTTTCTTCCAACCCTCTTCAAGACCCTCCTAAGCCTGTCGACTGCACCTAGTTTAAGCTTCCTTTCCTCTGGGCTGCCTGGAGTCTGGCTTAAGGAAGCTGCACCCTCCCTCACCCTGCAGTCAAATATTCCACATGATTACTTCTCTGAGTGATCTAACCCAAAGGACCATGTCTTTGGGCTTATAGCTGGAGGACTAAGGGCTCACTCCTCAGATGAATTTTGTCAGTGGAGGGGTGGGTCCAGGGCAGGGCTGAGGCAGGGAATGGCGTGGTCCTCTATTCTAGTGTCCCCCAGTGCCCCTTGCCCTGGGGGGCACTAGAGATTGCCCATCGACCAGACAGGTCAGGGAGCATAAGCATGGCTGACACCACAGAAATTCACCCCAGCCCAGAGCAACAGCTCTGGGTGCTGCCTGCTTCTCAGTTCTGCCTCACTGACTCAGACGAAAGGGACTCCTTCTTGCATGGAGCGTGGTCGTGATGGGGCACAGAAGGGAGGCCCAAACCTGTCACTCCCCGTCCTTCCGATGCTACCCCTACCCCCAGACTCCTACCAGCTCAGCCTCCAGCTGCTACAGCTCCAGAGCGCTCTTTCCAAAACGTTAAGAATAGACTTGGCACCCGGTTGCGTCTATCACCCCAAAGCAAGCAAACTCATCTTTCTAAGCAGGCTGGCTGAGGGGCAGGCACATTGCACAGAGAGGGTACCGGTAAGCACCCCTTCCCTAGCCTGGTTCTATTCACTCTCCACCCAACTTCCCCTGCCTGGAATGTTTCCTTTAATATAGCTCCTTGCTACAAGTGCCTCTGAAGTGGTATTGGAAATCAGAGACCATATTCCAGATTTATCCAGAGTCAACTGGGCTCAGCGGTGATGGGCAATGGCACTTTGGGGGCAGCTGGGAATGCAGACTTTTCTTCTCTGCGACCTGTTTCCTCAATGTATTCTTCTGTGATTCCCTGGAAATGGTTGAAGGAGGTTCCTTGATTCTAGTTTACTTCCAACCAGAGTTAATGTGAACTGAGGTGTACTCGAACCTAAACGTAGGTCTAGACAACAGGCTGGTGAGGGGGGCCTGGGCAGCTAACTCAGTGGTTCCACTTGAAAGAGGCTGGGATCTGGGACCCGGGATATCTGGGACTCTTTGCTGCAGTGCTTGCACCTGGACAGACAGCAGGATACAAAGAAACTATAAGGGACTAAAAATAACTGCGTACATGCGCAGTTGGGGCAAATTATGAACAACCAGATACAAAAAGACCCAAAACCCGACTGCCACTTCTGAGGTGTCTGGAGCAAAAGCAAAAGCTGCACACAGCACCACCAAGGGGGTGGGCACGCCACCCAAGCCACCCCTCCCGCCTGAGCCCTGGACCCATCCTCACCCTCACCCCATTTAAGGGACCAGCTTGCCGGCCCTGCCCCCCACCCCCAGGGAGGGAGCGAGGGAAGCTGTTACTTGTTTTCGCTGTATGGCAGCACAAGTCCAAAAAAGCCTTGCCTGAACTTCTCGTCTGGCCTCTTATCAATTTCTATTGATTAAAGAGTCCAAGAACCCTGGTCGGTAACACACCCAGCAGAATCAACTGGTTTTAAAAGTCGTGTGTTAAAAACTAGATATGCCTGTGTGCAGCTGGTAGGAACATATATATCGATACAAATTTTGTAAGGCTATTTTTGCAACATCCAGCAAATTCAAAATATCAACTCTTTGGCAGGACAGTTTTGCTTCTAGAATTTATCCTTTGGAAATACTACACAACAATGAAAAACGAAAGAGAGAGATGACGCTAAAACACTGTTAAACGAAAAGGCAAGGTGTAACACAGTATGTACGATGCAGCACCACCCAAGCTGAACTTTTTAAAACTTTATGCACACGTACACACGCGTATGTGACAAAGAAAATATATAGGAGGAAACATGAGTAGCTCTAGGGAAGCGACGTGGGGACCTGAATTTTTACTTTATGTGCATCTATAAACTTTCCAAAATCCTCATGTATTACTACCAGAATTTGACAAATACCCAGTCCCCGGGCCCACCCTGGAGATTCTGATTCTGTAGAGCATGTGCATTTTTAAATGGACCACATGTGGTTTTGCTATACTGCTAAGATCAAGAACCACTGAGTACTCTAGAGAGTTGTGGGCAAGGGTGATCAAAATGTCCCCTTGGACGACACAGAGACAAGAACCAAAGAGAAGAAAAAGAGATCAAAGAAAAAAAGGAGAAGAGGGATCCCAGAGCTAAATGTTATTAAGTGTACTGCAAAAGAAAGGGAAGGTTAAAAAAACAAAGACAACACGACTCCAATCCTAAACTCCTGCCCCAGATGACCCCATACAACCCCTAGGCAGAGTATAAATATGAAAAAAATTACCCCCCAGAGCTGATTTGTTGAAACAGTCTCTAAGTTACCACCTTTGTAACTTAGGAGTTTGGAGAACAATGGATATCAGAACTCTCGGTTACCTGCTGAAAACAGGCTTGGACAAGGTTTTCAGGGAAGAGATTTCGAATAAGGTCCAGAAAGGCATCCAGGCTGGACACTTCATCATTCTTCTGCCCAGGCCCCAGCTGCTTCTTGAGTTTGGGGTTCCCCGGGTGGATAGCCAAGACCAGGATGACCCCCAGCACCGCAGCGATGATGGTCGTGGACATGTAATATACCATAGCTCTCGTGCCTAAGCGGCCACTGGCTTTAGCATCCAGGCCTGACAACCCTGGATGGAAAAGAAATCCAGAATTATTAGTTCTATTATTTTCCTGTTACTAGCCCCTCTCTGCATACCTATAACCAACCCTCGGCTTCGTATTACTCAAACGTATTAATGGTTAATTAAAGCTTCTTCACCTGAATATTTGGTCAATTCCACAGTTTACAACTCAATTTTCCAAGGATATTTTTGAGATTCTAGAGAACTGGGGAGAGTTGGAGAACATCTGGTTCAGGGTTTATAAACTGGTTGGTGACTACTTTTTGTCAGTCTGCAAGAGTGAGTTAAAATTGAATACTCTCTTCAATTTTTAATTCTGAGATTATGTCCTTCCCAATTATTTGATATTAAGATATCCTTTCTTTATGAAGTGGTGGTCCTGGTACATGCTAGGTTTTTTTGTTGGTTTTAATATCCTCGCTTAGGAAAATAAAAGATTGGTAGCCCTGTGTATTCAAAACGTCTTTTGAATACATTACTGGTCATGAAATCAAAAGTCTGGAAAAGTGATTCTAGCACAGCCTTCTCATTCCCCTGAGGTGAAACTTGATGGATACCACATTTTCTGATCTCAAGTAGGGATGTGAGAACAGGTGCACAAAACACCCAGCATGGGTGGGAGCTTCATCTATATTTCAGGAGCTTCTGTGATGGTTAGCGGAAATTCCAAGCAAGTCACAAAAACTCCAGCCTTCATTGGGTTTTTTTTCCAGTAGTTTCTTCATTTTTTCTACTTCCTGGTTTCAGTTCCTGCTTTTACTAGACTGAGAGATGCAACCCTTTCTGGGGATCAGTCTTTTTTGCTGTGGGGGAGGAAGTTATTACTGATGTTAATAATTCTCTGAATGAAGCTGACCCATATGTGACACGTTTCGCCTTACAACCTGAAGTCTAATTCTGGCCAACGGAAGTGAGGTTTCCTTACCAGGTTGGCCAGTGTACAATCTGTTAAACAGGCATGGAGAACAAATTTTCTCTGGTTTAAAAAGGAGCATTTAAAGTAAAACATAGCTTCACTCAATCTGGGGCTGAATGATAAGATCCTCCTGACACTGAGTCCTAGCTCTTTCCCTCACTGGATTCACTGATCAACCAGCTGTGAGGCTGTAGCATCTGAATCTCTTGGAGTTACCAGAGCTTCACTACCTTCATAAGGTGGATGGTCCAGAGGTACAGCTTTCTCAAGGTCACCCAGCCTGTTGGCACCCAGATATAAACCAAAGCCCAGTTCTTCATCCCTAACTCAGAGCTTAGCCTCTAAACTTCATCAATTTATACCTTGTTTGAATAATATTATTTGGTAAGGAGGAAGCTACCAGTATAAGCCCAGGGAGGGGAAAAAATTCTTTCAAATAAAACAACTCTTTCAGCCAAAAGACAAGTGAACATGACCTATACATTAAGGGTACCTTTCTTCTGAAAAACTCGAAGGGTTTCATATCTAGTATTTCATTTATTTTTAATACCCACTTCCCTCTACACCAAATTAAGTAGTAAAGAGAAAATTTCTTTTTCTATTTGTTACCTTTATTTGTCAGTTTCTGAACAAATACAATTTGGGAAATGAGAAAAGTATACATTAAAAATTAAAATCACTAGATATGATCACTTTTAACATGCGGCTATTTCCTTTTTATCTTTTGTTGCTAGACAGACAGATGGACCAACCAATAGATGGCAAACTCTTTTTTTAGGGTTGCTTATCCCAATTTTAGAGACAGGAAAAACCGAGGCTCTGAAGTGAAATGACACAGATGATCACATTCACTGATTCAACCAAACTGAGAATCTATGGTCAATCCAAAAGCTGGAGTGGGAGTATGACCCGCTTTGGCCCAGTGCCAGGGAGGTGGTCTTACCTGTGATTAAACTGGAGATGATTAGAGGCAGAATGAGCATTTTTAGCATCCTCATGAGTATATCCCCTGGGAAGGCTATTAACATAACCACATCAGGGTGGATAGGAGATGCCAAGCGAAGAAGCCCTCCACATACCGCCCCCAGGATGACACCTATCAGAAAGGGGGGAAAATATGAATTTAGCTTTTGCCCTCATCAAATGAATAGCTCTAGAGATGTAGTTCAATGACATTGACCTTCCTCATACTTCTCCGTCATCAGAGGATGACTAGCACATCACAAAAATACCATTAGAAAAGTGAATTTTGATGACTCGTGAGAAAATACTTTGTATCTCCAACTATTCTAGAAGGCAGCACCGGAAGAGTCAAGAAGAGCCTTCTCAAGGCTTTGTGGGAAATATAACCTGGCAACTTGACTCTGACTTCTTTGAGGATATCATCCACTTGCAGAGTCACAGATTGTCAGCAGAAATAATCCACAGTGCCAGATACTGCTTCTCTTCGCAGCCTAGGCTGGCCACACTCCATGGTGTTTAATGTTTTTCTTCCCTTTTGAACTGAATACCAGATAAAAGGAACATTTAAGTGACCAAGCTGGGGTGTTTTCTTTATTCTTCTATTTTCTTTGACTTCCGGTAATTTCCCCATGGCTTATCCTCAAGAAGTTTTGTCTTTGACTTCTGTGTCCTTGTACATAATCTTGAGACTTGCTGATCTTAGGGGAGGTCAAGGTGGGTGTCTAAAAATATATAATTTGGGAGGAAACAATTTGGGCAGAGATGCTAGCAGGAGCCTTTCACTTTGCATACACAGGGATTCCACAAGAAAACCTTGGATCTCTCCAAACTGGTGGCCAACATAAACTACCTTCTGGAGTAAGGTGGGGAGGGAGGTCCTAGGTATGTGGCTATGGTGTTAACTCCAGATATGCAAAGGGAGTAACATGGCCAAAAGCCTTATCTTTTTTTCTTCCACAGGTGACAAACACACTTCTTCAAAACCTATGATGAATGAAATTTGCTTCTGTGGAGGGTAACCCTTGGAAAACCCTACCACACCTGTGGTCTTCTTCTATTAAGTGAACTGAGCTGGGGGGCAAGTTCCCAGTCCTGACTCTAGTCCACCGACATCCAAGATGACTGACTCGACGGAGAAGCCATGGACGATGTGTGTGTGTGTGTGTGTGTGTGTGTGTGTGTGTGTGTAGATGGCTCTTCATTGCTTCATTGTATAGCCTCATAAGAGTTGAAGAACAAGGAGGGGGCGTTGAGAAAGGAAAAGATGTGGTTGTCACTATAAGAAACCGCAATTTTCCCCATTTTCAATCAATCCTGGTTGAAAACCCAAGGCCAAGTCTGTATCAACAGTCACACGAAAGGACAACCAGAGCTTGCGTGAGGCCAGAGGCAGGGGAGTAAGGCTTTTGAGGTGGAGCTGGAGTGGATCAAGGCTTTGGGACAAGCCTCTTCCACACGGACCTCGTTAGCCAATGTGCTAACTGAATCTAAGTTAATGAGGTGCTTGAAGAAGGTCAGACTTTGGGAGCCCTGTTAGTGGGGTTTAGGGCAACTGTTGCATTTTTCTGGACACAGGTACTTTTCTAAATGTGGTATACTGACCATCTGCTTTGGAATCACCTAGAAGGTTTGCTAAGATGCAGATTCCTAGGTCTCACTCCGAGTGGCCCAGAGTCTCTGTGAGTAGGGCCTGGGAACCTGCATGCTGACATACCCATGGGAAATGTACACGCATACTGAAATTTGAGAACCACAAGAATCCCAAGGGGGCAAACATGGCTAGGGCAGGTGGCAGGGAAGATGGCATCACTGAGGCAGCCGTGCCTGGGTAAAGGCAGAGTTAGGCAGAGCGTGTGGCTTGCTTTCCAGGGGGAGGGCTGGCTTCCAGAAGCAGCTTCCACACTTAGCCAGGAGAGACCAGGGGAAGAGGGGAGGGTGGGGCAAGCCTGTCACCTACCGAACACGGTCAGCGTGAGCAGGAGATTCTTCCCCAGCTTGTCACACAAGCGCAGCCCCAGATGCCGGGGCTTCAGCTCCTCCGAGCTGAGGTGGCTGTCGTGCATCCGTACTTCCACCTGCTTGGGCATGTTGTTGGCACTAAAACAGAAGGGGAGGCAGTGCTTAGAGTCCGCTGGGCATCTCTGCAGTTTGAGGGTCTCAGGTTGTAGGAGGCGAAACAGCCTTCCCCAGGCACAGCTGGGAATCTGGAACCATGGGCAGGAAAGTAAAAACCAGGGCAATTCAGGGCACCCTGAATTCCAGTTTGCCTATAAGCAGGTTACTAGGACACGCTGAACGCCAACACGCCAAGTGCTTTTATCCTTAGTATCTTGGATCATCACAGAAAAAGGCATCACATAGGCAGTGGGAGGTTTTTCCAAGAGTTGCCCACCATGCTAACTCTCTGAGGCAAGTATCTCTGCCCTGTTTTACAGAAAGTAACTTGCCCAGGGTCACAGGCTAAAAGGAATGGATAGTCAAACTCCATATATGCCTGGCTTCAAAACCTGAGCTCTTTCATTCTTGTATCAACAGCAAGAAGATGGCTTTTGAATAATCTAAGGTCAGGAGCATCACAGCCTAAGTCACTGCTAAATTAAATGCCTCTGAGCTCAAGCCTTCCCCATTCTGGACACAGAAAAGTCATAAATGCTAGCAGTCCAAGTTTTACCTCTCTTTTGGAAAAGATGGTTTATCTAGTAAAAAAAAATTCATTCCATTGTGGTTTTTAAAAGGTCACTTGCATTATCAGGACTCCTCTAAGCTGCCAATAGTCATGCTACCCCGTGTCAAAGAAGTATGGCTTTAAGAAGCATGCGATCACCTTCACCCGTAGAGGCACCCCAGCCCTCTTCCAGAAAAACCCCATGTGAACCCAAGCTATGCTAAGACTCTGCCAATGGAGCCCTTGCCAGGATAATGGGTATACTGCCTTTTTTTCCAGCTATGTCACTTCCCAGGCCAATAAAATTTCAAATTTAAGCTTGGGGACCAACATAGGGAGGCCAAGTTTTCACTTTGACGTCTTAGGACGCCTTTGTTAGCTGCCATTTACAACCACCATCATGTGACAAACAAACAAAACAAGTTCTTTAACACCTAGAAAGACAAGTCACAGTCTCTGAATAAACGACAATACCTTGCCAGATAGGCAGGTGTCAGCTTCACCCAGATATTCTCACCACAGACTGGGAAGATCTTCCTTTGGAACCAACAGAACTCTTCAGGTTAGTGGTCTGGAATCACTGGTTATAATGGAAATGGTGTGGGTTTTGGAAACAGAGAGCCTGGGTTCAAATCATGACTCTATCACTTGCTAGCTGTGTGGTTTATAGAAAGAAGGGCTCGAGGCCTACCTTGTGGAAGTTAAACATGATAATGTATGTTGGGGGCCTGGCATGGCAGCCAACACAAGTAGTTCCTTTCTCCGGGGAACATTCACGACAAGCGTGACATTTAAGTTCGGGGACCCACCCAGTTGCACCATCGTTCTTTCAAGACACCAAGCTTAGCTTCCAGAATCTCAGAGTCAAGACCAGGGACCCAACGCAAGACTTACTTTTTCATAACAGGCTGCCTAATATACTTGCTTCCAGAATAAAACGATACAAATGAACTTATTTACAACACAGAAACAGATTCACAGATTTAGAAAGCAAATTTATGATTACCAAAGGGGAAAGGTGGGGGGGGGAGGGATAAATTAGGAGTTTGGGATTAACATATACACACTACTATATATAAAATAGATAATCAACAAAGACCTACTGTATAGCACAGGGAATTCTTCTCAATAGTCCGTAATGACCTATATGGGAAAAGAATCTGAAAAAGAATGGATATATGTATATGTATAACTGAATCCCTTTGCTGTGCACCTGAAACTAACACAACATTGTAAATCAACTATACTCCAATAAAAATTATAAATAAATAAATAACAGAATATTTTAAAATTAGGAATAATGTGACATGGTCTGGTAGAACGCCCAGATGATAACATTAGTCAAAATATAAGCTTCTTGGGCTTCCCTTAATGGCCTAATATTCTACTCATCTAGTTAGTCTGGGGGCAATCTCTATCTGGCATACGTGTGTGTTAATGATCGCTCAGACAGTCTAAAGAAGAAAATAGGGCATGAAGCTCACAGCAAGCAGACGGGGGCTTTCTGACCGGTGAGCAGTAAGTACCACTTCCTCCTGTCACCAAGTGAAACAGACGGAAAAGTTCTTTTTACAGCACAGCAGGGAAAATGATCATAACTATCTTTTTAACACGGATAGACCATATTTCTATGCTTGCATTAGGATCTTTTTATATTTTTTAAACACTTCTCCAGCCAGTAATCTGAAGCTGTAAACCAGGAAGCTGCCAACGGAGAATGGGGGCCGTACGCGTTCAGAAGTGGTGAATGCGTTCGTTAGCCAGCCCTTGGCAAAAACTCTAGGAGCCCCTTGAGAGCGGAATCCCCTGCCTTCTGCTTCATTCGAAGCCCTCCTGCCACCGAAGTTAGAATCAGGCACATGGCTGGTATTTCAGTGAGACTCACACGTATTTAAACCAGACATCCTGGCAGGATCCATATGATGTGATGAAAGTGTCAAGCATCAAGGCAGCCGTGTCCAAGTGAAAACACACAATTATTAGGTTAACGTACACACCCGATCCAGCAGTGTGGTCGGATGCCTACTGGCCACACTTCTTAGTTGCACAAAATCGCTGTATGTTTAATGATTTGTCTTTTAAGCCATGACAAAATGTCCCTGAAGCCCTGAATCAAAACAGCCGCATCAAAGTGGCAGCATCAAAATGTCATGAACCCACAAGTACTGAGAGAATGCCTGTCACTTGCCCTCTTGAAGTTAAACATGTGCTCCAGGCTCAGAGGAGCTCCTAACCTCTGCACATAGAAAATCATTATTAAAGTGCATCAGAGCCTTGGCTGGCCTCTGGGGATGCAGGGAGTCCCTGGAGAACTCTTTGTAAAGATCCTAGACCAGTCTAACTGATCCCTGCAGCCCCCAGAACACAAGGAGAGCTTGAAATGGAGACTATTATAGAACATAACATTAAATAATATTGTATAGCATAATACAGAGCTGCTTCTAAGACTTATATATCTTCAGAAGAACAGATATAGTTTTGCTTTTGCTTTATTTTATATTCACCATTTCCAATGCTCTTTATTTCTTCCTATAATTCTGGGGTTTTTTCTTCCAGTTTTATTGAGATATAATTGACACACAGCACTGTATAAGTTTAAGGTAAGCAGCAAGATAATTTTTTTAACATCTTTATTGGAGTATAATTGCTTTACAATGGTGTGTTAGTTTCTGCTGTATGACAAAGTGAATCAGCTATACATGTACATATATCCCCATATCTCCTCCCTCTTGTGTCTCCCTCCCATCCTCCCTATCCCACCCCTCTAGGTGGTCATTAGTGGGAAGCAGCCACATAGCACAGGGAGATCAGCATAATAATTTGATTTACATACAACATGAAGTGATTATCACGGTAAGTTTAGAAAACATCCATCATCTAATATATGTACAAAATTAAAGAAATAGAAAACAATTTTTTCCTTGTGATGAGAACTCTTAGGATTGACTCTCTTAACAACTTTCATTACATCCCGAGAACAGATATAGTTTTTCAAATGAGATTACACACATCCACAGCTATGTGAATGCTGGTTACTGAATGCACATAGTAACAGCGGCAATAACAAGGATAACCGGTGTTTACTGAGGACTCTGTGTGTCCAACACTATAGTCAGTGATGAGTAAGGTGTAATCCTCGTGCTTAAGGAGCTCTTAAGGCGAAACACAAAGCACGTTGCGTGGTACTTGTCTGCTTTACATATGGGTCATGATAAGGCCCTGTACAGGATGTTATGGGACACGGTAAGAATGGTGCCTAACCTAGCTTTGGGGAAGAAGCCTGTTCAAGAAAGGCCCCCAGGAGGGGCTGATACCAGAGCTGGATCTTAAAGGATGGATTTAATTTAAATGTCTACATCCTCTACCAATATTTGAACCCTAAGAGCACCTTTAACACCTGGTCCCAAGCACTTGATAAATGTTTGCTCACAGAAATTAAGAATTGGAGAGCAACTATAGAGGGCACTGTGCTTTCTCCTGGGAACCAGGCCCTTCTACAGAAGACTGGCAGCATACCACCTAGCACCCCTCCTACCATTCTGCATCTGTTCCACAAATTCCCACTGGCCATATATTACAGGCCCCATGCTATTCTAGGTGATAAAATATCACAATAGACAAAGCCCTTGCTCTCACGGGCTGTACATTTTAGTGGGATGACAAATAAACGAATAAATATATTTCAAGTGGAGATAATGTGCTAGGAAGTGGGTGACAGGTGGGAAGAAAGCAGAGTTATTTTGCATCCAGTGGTCAGAGAAGGAGGGCTTCGTGATACGGGGACATTTGAACAGAAACCTGGAGGAATAAGGGGTCTCCTAAATTACCTATGCAGTTTGTCCAGAGCTTAGCAAATAAATGGCATACACACAATTTGGAAATCTGTTGGTCCAAACCAGAGACCGAAGCTCCCACCAGATGCCAATCTTGGTGTCCACACATTGGTTTTTAGCACAGGCACTGATTCAAATAAGAGTCAAGGCAGTAATGCTGCATCCCATTACCATCATGAATATGGTGGAGGTTCAGTGACTGTCCCAGTTCCAAGCAAAAGAAATGGATATCAGAGAAAGGTGAGTTGGACACAGGAGGAGGCCTGAGGTCATGACAGCTTACAGATTTACTTCTTTGGCAATGAACAGAAAGGGCAAGGCCTGATCTGGGTAGGTCCACTGTATAAAGACAATAAGTTATTTCGAGTGTGCACACTTATTCCCTCATGAATGTTCCCTCCCTACAACTTGTGGCCATGCAGACGGAACCAAGAAATAAGGATTTTGAAAGCCCAGGCATGGCTTGGTTATACCAAATCCATCAAGCCTGATGCTCTCCCCACACTGTTCACCCCCTCTATTTCTACCCGGGTGCCTTCCGGATGGAAGATTTAGCAATGTAATTCTTTACTACAGTATAAGCCAATTAGGCCACATCT